AGCGTCTGAAGGAGGGGGAATGTGTGATGTATGGTCGTCTACGGAGGGAGGAGCGGCGGAGCGGGCGCCGGGCGACGATCGATCGGCGACGCCCTCGTCGTGTGCGGCGGTGCTTTACGGACTAGGCCCTCAATACGAACAAACGTGAGCTCCTCAGGCAGGAGCGGCAAAACGTGATCGATCGAAGAGAAGTGGGGGAATGCAGCCAGCACGACTTTTTTTCTTTTTGTTGCCTGTTCTTTGTATCAGAGGAGAAAAGACGAGCACTTGTTGTGTGTTGTGTTGGCTGTTCTTAGTCCGACAAGGGGAAAGACGAGCACCTGTTGTGCGTTGTGCGGTGTGCGGGGGGGGGATGGCACACCATTTGTCTGGAGAATCGGGGCTGCGGTGAGGCTCTGTGGTGTGGTGTAGTACTGCGCAGTACGGGCCACTTCAGAGGACGAAGGAAGGTCGTCTGCCTGCCTGCGTGCGCGCTCTCTCTCTGCGGTAGAGTAAAAAACAAAGAGAAAGCCGACAGGCGTGTCGTGCTCGAGATCGCCCGACGGCTCGCGAGATGGGCCATACGGGACGCCAGCCAGAAAACACGGCTAAAGCCTAAAGATTCATGGCGGGCCGCCTTGACCCTTGGATCGGATTTAAACAACCAACTCTCTCTCAAAGCACACAGGCTCGACACAGGTGTGAACTGGCGCGTGCTAGTACTATCACCGGCACACCACCGGAGCCGCCTAAGCGACTCCGTTAAGAGCGGCAATGCACTTAGCACCGTGCACAATCGACGAAAAGAATTTTACAAGAAACTCCCTCGCACAACACGAACAGAATTTTACACTCATGCTGCCTCGCACAACACTGGGCACCTCTCCTTAAAATCCCTGTGTGGTGGCGGCGTGCCGTCCTCCCATCCCTCCCTTGGGTTGTCCGTTTTCTTTCTTTTACACTGGGCACGGACGAAAAGAATTTTACAAGCAAAGGCAAGGCACGGGCGACGGCTTCCTTAGAAGCCGTCGTCCTCACCGAAAAGAAAACCAGAGTCGGACTGAAGCTTGTAGTTCGCCACGGCGCGCGATTGTCCATCGGCCGAGGCCGCTCGCCCACGGTGGGGCCGCTGCTGCCCGACGTCTTTGCCCGGTGCGCGCCGCGAGGTGCGGCGGGACCAACGCAGGCGGCGGTCTACCTCTACCTGTTGTGTGACGATCAGGTTGAAAGGCTCTTCTAGGTAGGTCTGCGCTCGCGTTTTTCTTTTTCTTTCGTTACCCCCCTACCCTTTGTGTACACTTTAGGGGGGCAGGCAGTGAATGGACGAGAGTAGGGATGGACCCGCGGCGTTGGCGGGGTTAAAAGCTAGGGTAAGAGACGCCTCTTCAAATCTCGGTCAAAAAGGCCTCGTGCACGGCCGGGCAAGCCCAGGCCCCGCCGCGCTTTAGAGCGGCTCCCACGGCCACGCTTTTCGGTAACGATGGAAGAAGTCCCCCCCCCCCCCCCCCCACGAACGACGTCCAGCTTCCTTACCACGTGCGACGACGACGTGCCGCGACCCGCTCCTTGACACACTCGACTCATCGGTCATCGCGCGACGATGCCGCAGGCGAGCGTTGCAGCGCCCTCGATGAAGTACGTCAGGGAGGAGGGAGAAGCAGAGCTCGCCACACCGCGCACACGGCACCGCACGAACGGCTGACGAACGGCAACGGGGCTTGCGGCGCCAGTACACCACACTGTGCGTGCCTGCGCGTGGCTGCACGTGGTAGGGAACGGCTCTGCCCGCCCGTCGAGTTCCTCGGAGAGGGCCCGTTGGCTGCCCCGTTTTTCTTTGTGCAGTACACAGACTCAAAACGTAAAGCAAGTCTTATTGTACGCATACACACAACTGCATGAGCATGTGGCATGTGCCCTCCTTTCTCCAGCCTGCCCTGGCTAGTCTGCACTCTGCAGTCACCACCCGGCGCCGTCCCCTACTGCGACATCTCCTGGTTGAGCGGCGCGGCCGGCGGCGCCGCGGTCGAATCCGAAGGGCCGCCGAAGAAGTCACGGTAGTCCACACCCGCCCGGCCGCGCGCAAAGTGCGCCCACGTGTATACTGGCCAGCAGCAGGTGACGGTGGCGCAGCACGCCAGAGTGCCCGCGCCGCCGCCGATCGCGCATACCTCGCGGCCGCCGCACCACGTGCGCGAGATGCCGTCGCCAGTGTTGCAGTAGTATGCCGGATTGAAGCACGAAATCACCCACGTCGAGCTCTGGCCGAGCTCGGAGGCGGCGCCGAGGTCTGTCTCGCGGGTGAAGGTGGTGCTGGTGGTTGTCGCAGCCGCCACCGGCGCGG